TCCGCCTTTGACACCGGCGTGCTGGCTGCTGCCACAGCTGCGCCGGACTTCCAGCCGAGTGCTGCGAAGGCGCACTGCAGGATCGTCAGCACGACCGGCAAGGACATCGCGTTCCCAGCCAAGTCCTGCATGAGCTGCTCCGAGGGGCGGTACGACTGGAGAAGACGGGGGGGCTTTGACGGCCTCTGGTCGGCCGGCCCTGCCCCCCTTTGACCAGCAGGCAGCCCTTGACGCGACTTCTTGGCCGGCGGCCACTCAGAATCCAGCTCGCCGTCACTAGCCGCATCTTTATTGCCAGAGTCAGATTTGGCGCTTGCCCGAACGTCCCGCAAAGCACGCAGGAAGGCAAGGATCGGGAAGCCTTGAAACATCAAGGCTTCGCGGCCAAGCATGAGACGCGGCTCGGCGACGCGCCCAGCGGGCTCGATCCAAAGGTTCATCTTCGGAAGCAGCGTAGGCGCCAGGTGGGTGCCAGTCTCTGACTTCCAAGTAGCTGCGTTTGCTCGCGAAATGCTTTGAGACAAGTCTCGCATCATCGTGTCTGGCGACTGCAGCCGCAGGAGGGGCAGCGCGTCCTGCTCGCGATCCGTCAAGGTCTGATACCACGCACTGCTCGTCAGGTCTTCCGACTTGCCCTCCCCCCATCTCACACGCAGCAGCTCGGCCATCTTCATGTGCTGCTCCACCCAGTCTCCAGCCCCGTGGCTATGTCCACCGCCTGCTGGCTTAGAGCCGTGGCCGCTAGCGTGCGCTTGAGCCTGCTCAGCGAGCCTCCCCTGGCGAGCGCGCAGCTCTGCGCGCACGGCTGGGTCGCTGCTTGCAAGGAGCACAGCCGACGCGCAAGGCCCCCGCCGCATGCACCCGGACAGCAGCCCGCCGAAGGTGGCGAAGGTGCAGGCCAAGCTCCTGTCAGCAAAGGAAAGCAAAGGGTTCGCAGTCGCGCGCACTAAGAACACGTAGAGCCGCCTCCGCCGCGCGGGCAGGCCCCACTCACTGCTATCTGCGACCACCGGCTGGCCTTCGTATCCGTGACTTGCCATCTGGGACATGAAGACGTCCAGGCTGGAGACGCCGCTAGCTTTCTGCTCCTCCATCGCGTCCACATTCTCGTACAAGATGAGCAGTGGGCGGTGCCGCTCCACGTAGCTCATCAGGCCAGCAAAGGTCTGCGCCGACCCTCCGCGGGATTCTTTGGAAAGCAGAACAGCTTCCCCGCGCACCCCGCTGGAGTTTGCCTTTGACATATCCTTGCACGACGTGCCAACTACCAAGAGGTCTACACTCTCCACTCGACAGCAGCCTGGGCCGTGCTCCCAGCACTCGGCAAGGTCGTCCCCCATGTTCCCGATGTTTGTGAAGATGCATGGGGCCTCTGGAAGTTGCCCCACTTCCGTCCAGTCGACTTCGCTCTCACGTTCTCCTCTGAGGCGGCTCGCCAAGGAACTGTAGACCGGCTCTGCGAGCGCGCTGGATGCGTGGATCCACTTACGCTTCTCTTCCGAGAGCTCGCACGAGAAAGCGTGCTGCAGTCTGAATCCAGACCCTTTCTCGGAGAAGAGGTCATTCAGCGCGGCGATGACCCAAGCCGGCCCTTCTGACCCAGAGCACATGGACCCCCGCCGTAGCACAGCTTCGCCGCAGCCAGGGCTGCCGGGCGACATTTCCGGCAGAGCTCCCAGTTCTGCCTAGCCGCATGCCATAGCCACGAGCCGTCCCTCAGCCACTCAGCAGAAAGAGCGCGAGATGCCGCATCTGCTTCGCAGGCCCTCACCATTGCCTGGTCCAGCGCAGCCTTTGCGGCACCAGCGCTGCCACGGCTCATGTCGCCGATAACTCTCCCGGTCAGCGACCCGCTCGGCCTGCGGCCTGCTTTCGGAGCAAGCAAAGGGCAAAGGACGCGAGTGTGTAGAAAAGCCAAGCTAACGCGGCTGCGGGAAAGTCAACAAGCTGCTGAATCTGCGCAAACCCGAGCAAGGGCCGCTGACTTGCGCTTGCGAAAACTCTAGGCCTGTATGACAGCGGCCATCGTGCTCGTGCATGTGCGTGCGTGTGTGTGTGTATGTGTGCGTGCGTGTAAGCGCGAGCACGCAGTACGTCTATACTATATCCATAAGGCACGGCGCGCGGCCTGCGACTCGGCTAGTAGACTGCTCGTGACATTTGCGTCGAGATGCCGCCACGAGGAAAGTGAGCACGGAAGCACGCGCGCAGACGCATGTGTGGCTGCGCGACTGTGCGTACGCGCGCGGGCGCGGGCGTCTGATTGCCTGCGCGTGTGTGCTCGAGCGCGCTCACGCACGCAGGCGCGTGTCTACGCGCGAATGGGCCGCCACTTCCCCGAAGACGCGGAGGCGGCCAAAGGCGTGCGCCGATGGCAAGAGAAGGGGAGAGAAAGCGCGTCTACACGCGGGAGAAGCAGGCTTGCGCGCGCGCGCACGCGCATGCAGGCGCATCTCACATGGGCAGCGGCTGTCTCTCTCACCAAAAGCCGCGAAGCTGCCTCGCTGAGGTCACAGTCTAGTCTAGTCTTCACCCTTCTCGCAAGCAAGCTGCGCCGCAAGCCCGCACGCAGACACCTGGCCAGCGGCCTTGCCTGCTGCTGCCTTGCGCCCAGCCTTCGCAGCGGCCTTTGCCCCAGCCTTCACCTTTGGCGCTGCAGCAACTCTGGTCTCTGGGCCGCCCCCGGGCTTGGCTTTTGCGCGCGCCTTGGCCGTAGACTTCGGCCGCGCCTTAGGCTCAGCGCTTGCCTTCGCTTCAGCCTCTGAGTGTCCCGGCGCTGCGGCCGCTTTTGCGAGCACTGGCTTGTCGCGCGCAGCCTCAGCAGCCTTGTCTGTAGCAGCTTGCCCGTCAGGCGTCGCCTTTGCAGCCTTGCTGCTCTGGCCCAGGGCAGCCGTCTCCTCCTCTGGCGTCCGCTTTTTGGCTGCCTTGGACTGGGAAGGCCCGTCCGCGCAGAACAGCTGCGCCATAAGATCTGGCAGCTGCGCCATAACTTCCGGCAAGTCCGCATCATCTAGCAAGTCTCTCTTGTGCTTTTTCTCTTTTCGGCTTGCCTCGCCTTCGTGCCCCTTGCTGCGGCGCTTGCCTAGCTTCTCGCCTCCAGAGCCGGGCTCGCCCTCCTTGGCCTTCTTCTGGTCTCGAGCCTCTTTGCTGCGCTTCTCCGTCTTCTTTTCCTTTTTCTGCTTCTTGTCTTTGGCACGCTTGTCTTGCTTCTTGGTCTTGTCCCTTGCTTTTGCGTTCTTGGTCTCCTTGCGCTGCTTCTTCTTCTTTCGCTTTTCCGCGTCAAGCCGCTTCAGCGCTGCCTTGGCCACGCGGCGCCGCCACTCGGGGCCCATTGTGCGTGCACGCCTCTTTCATAGGCCGAGGCGCGCTTCCCTGCGGCTCGCCTTCGTCTTCCGACTCTATCTTGACGCTGGTGACTGGGCCTGAAGTAGCTGGGCGCTCACTCGCAGGGGGCACAGCTGCCAAGGTCGGCGCCTGGCCGGTGGCCGCTGGCTCGCGAGGCTTGTCTCCCAGCGCCAAAAGAGCTGGCGCTGCTGGCCCTGCGGGCTGCTTGACTGCTGCAGGCTCTGAATCTGCACCTTCGCCTGCTGCTGCCGCCTTCTCTGCCTCGCGCGCACGAGGCTGCGGCTTTGCTTGTGGGACTTCTGGGCCGCTGTCTTTTGCAGCATCCTTCCGGGTAGCAGCGCCACGGGCGCTGGCAGCCGCCGACGCCATACTCTGCTGCTTCCAGCCCAGCAAGACGTCCAGCCTTGGCAGGCGCGCCCGGTTGCTAGCCACTTCGCCCCAGCGGGTTGGCACATCAACAGCTGCAGCCGCCGCTTGTCCCTTTAGCCCCTTTCGTACCTTAGAGGATGGTCAAAAGCAAGGGGCGCAGACAGGCCTGCGCAGGCTGAAAGAAACTCGCGCATGTTACATTCAGCTTCAGCGGCTGTGATTGATAGGCCCCTTGCGCGTTAGGCTGCCTAGAAAAGCTGCTCAAGTGGCCTCGAGCCTCCCCGGCAAGTCTCCGAATCAACAACGTGCACTTTGAAACCTGACCTACTGTAACTACTCTGCAAACATAACCAAAATGAGCACAAAGATACAGCGCTACTCCAGCAAGCAAAGCGCCGCTTCACCCATCTGCGTGAGTATCTCTTCCATGGCCGACTCATCCAGGAAAGACACGCTGCTGGTAGTCTCTAGCTCCTTCAGCAGGGTGACCACTAGAGCCTGCAAGTCGCTGACTGCCTTCTTAGCACATTCGGATTTCCCTCCGATCGCCGAGCTGCGGAAGAGTGTCAGGGCAGCAAAGTAGGTCAGCGTGGACACAATCACTTGGGACACGACGCGCGCCTTCTTTGCGGATGTCTCCAGGTTCTCAAGCACCGGGCCAGCGGCCTCTGGGCCAGCAAGCAGGAGAGACTCCTTCAAGGACAGCATTTCTTCGCTCCGCTTCTTCAGCGTCTGGGAAGCTCCACTCAGCTTGTTTAGGCTGGCTTGCACCGCCTTTCGAAAGCTGTCTTCATCTGAGCAAGGAGGCAAGTCGATAAGCAGGGCTTCAGCCTGCCCTGCTGCAAATTCTTTTCAGCCGCCTCTGCGCGCGAGCTGCCTTGCGCCGTCAGCTTCTCCGCCAGCCGCGCCCTCTCAGCCGCGCACCAGCGGTTCCAGGAGTCGTCGCTCAAGCCGCTGCGCGCCAAAAACGGCACGGCGGCCTCGCTGGAGCTTTGGCCCTGCGCGCGCTGCGCCGCAAGCAGCGCAGCCAGCATTTGCTGGCACGCTGGCGGCCCCTTGGCTTCGCGAAGCCACAGTGCAAGCACCTGCTGCAGGGCAAGCTCGCTCTACTTGCAAGAAACCAGCATAGCCAATCTAACTCAAAGGCTCAAAGACTACGAAGGTTAATGAAGAGTTTGGGAGTGGCAGTAAATTAATGGCAACATCTCACAAGTTGGCCCTTGGCCCAAGTTCAATACCGCCACCAAAAGGGCTGTGGCTTCTCAGCTCCCTAGCTTTAGCATGCTTTAGCTTTGGTGGCCCCCTTGGGCCTCCAGAACTGCGTCAGTCACCGCGCGCACCTCATTCTCCTGGGGGATGCCGAGCTTCACTTCCTCCACTCTCACAGCTGCTGGCGCTGACTCGGCTGCCCCCTCCCCTCTGCTGCGCAGGAAGTCTCTAACAAGAGCGCCAAGAGCGGTGAAGCCTGCCATCTCTTGGCTCTGCAGCTGCTGGTCGACTTTGTCGAGTAGAACGCTCCAGGAAAGAGCCGCAGGCGCCCGGGACGGCGCCCTGTCATCCCCGCCGAGAGCGAGCACTCTTTCGGGCAGCGACTTGAAACTGTGCAGCACCTCGGGCGCAGGGAGTCCTGGCACCGCGGCACCTGCAAAGGCCCAGCGCAGCTTGGGCTCCATAGACAAGCTGAACCGGACAAGCTGCGTGGCCTGCTCAGCGATCACCTTGTAGCAGTCCAAGAGCTTCAGCAACTTCTTGTCTTCGCTCAGCTCTGGCTGAGCCTCCTGCCAGAACCGGTGCTCTATGATTTCTTTGTTTGCGAGCACTTCAGCCACGTCAGCGACGGAGAACTCTATTGCCTCTCGCGCGCTGTCGTCGTGAAATAGCGCTCTCGTACTCTCGAGCACTCCAGACACGGTGTTGCATAGCTCCTGCCGCAGTCCGGACAGCAGCCACTTCCAAAACTCTTTTACCAGCAGCTCCAGCTTGGTGGCGTACCTGTTGGCAAGCCTGGCTTGCTGCGGCCCCTGCTGCTTCAGCGCTTGGATCTCTTGCGAGACTACGCGCCTCTGCCCCCAGAAGGCCGCAGCTGAACACGTAAGCACATCTGCCGTGACGCAGCCGGCGGCCTGGGCGGTGTCTAAGGCAGCGGAAGCTTTCTGGAGGCTGGTCTCTGCAGCCACGCGTGAAGATCCCTCAGCCAGCACGTCAGCTGCAGCCTGCGCCAAAGCTTGGCCAATCTTGTGCTTTGCGAAGAAAGCGATGACAGCCCCCCCGCTCGCTTCGCCGCTGAGTTGTTGGAACTTGGCAGTGCCGGCTTCTAAGGCAACGACATCGCCAAGGGACAGAAGCTCTCTGACCAGCTCGCAGTCTTTCAGTGACTTCTGCGAAAGCTCAGTATCTGGGGCCGCGTGCTCCTCGGCAATAGCCTTGCAAAAGGAATGAGTCTGCTGCCTGTATTCGCTGTCCTTCTTGCTTGCCTCCTCAAGCGGAAAGCCGCGCAGCAAGCTGCTGAGTCGCTGCTCCACCTCAAGCTCAACCCATCGAGAAATTTCGTCCGGCGTCCCCATCTTCAGCAGCTCTCGAACCTACGGGTGGACTAAGACTTCGGTTGACTGGTCTAGACATGTGTTTTTTTGGGACTTGGCCTGGACAAGCCCATACAATGCCGCAAGGTGAGCAGTGAGCAGGAGCAATCTAAACAGCAGGGGCCAGCTGGCTGCGAAAGTCTAGGCTGCAGTAAAGCATCATAAATCAACGAGCAGGCGATCCCTGGATGAGATCAAACAGATTGGCTACCTTGCGTCCCAAATGAGCCCCCCCCTCCCCCTCAGCACCCTGCTGGGAAGCACAGCAGTATAGGCGCGCCGGGGCTAGGCTCAACGTGAGGGCTAGCGGCTGGCCTACAACTTACAACCTGAAACTCGCTGCTCACAACTTGCCTCAGCAGCTTCCTTGCGGCCACGAGCCCCCCCTCCCCAAGTGCCGAGCCTCCTTGGCAGATGAGCGAAAAAGTTGAGAGTAGCCGACAAAGTCGCGATACAAGCAGAAGTGTGCGCACTTGGCCTCGAGAAGCGCCTCCCACACGCCAGGCCCGAGTTCTATACGCATGGGAGGGGCAGCGAGGCAGGCTTCTACAGCTTCTCCCAAGTCCTGCGCTGAAGGGTTGGCGGCGTAGAGTTGCTTGAGCAAGTCCAGCAGGAGCCCAGCCGCGCTCCGAGCTTTCTGAAACCTATCCAGCTCAGCGAGCAGACCTTGTCGGTTGGGGCTCTCCTCAATCCTCTTGATGTGCTTGTTGGCGCCCGTGAGGACGGACGCCAAGGCTTTGCTCTGCTTTGTGAAGATTTGCTTGGCGTCTTTGCTCAGTAAGTTCACGTCCAGCGCCAAGTGCGCTTGCATTGACTCCTCCAGTTTCTGGGCGGCCTCCTGCAAGTTCTCGCGGAGTCTCAGGCCGCGCCCGTCCAAAACAAAGGCCTCGGCTTCAGCCGGCTCACCCCGCGATCGCGCCTCTAACTTCTGCTTTTGTAGGTTCGAAGCAGCTGGCGCGCTGGGCGCACCGGGAGCCGTGCTCGCAGCTGGCGCCCTGGCCACCTTCGTCTTGGCTGCACTGCTGCCTGTGGGAAGCTGCTTAGCCTTCGCCTTTGCCTTGGCTCTACCGCCCAAACGACCACCCACGCTGGCAGCCAGGGCTGCCAGAGCATCTTCTTCCTGCTCACTGTCTGGCAAGTCTTCCTCTTCAGGCTCCCAGTGTGGAAGTGGTGCTTCTGCGGCTGATGGTGCACCTTCGCCGGAGGTCTCTGCTACCCCAGCCAAAGCAGTGTCTGGGACAAGCCCGCGCAGCGCACCAAGCACTGCACTCAGCTCCATGGGAGCAGGGCCAGCGGCCACCGTGTGCTTCGCTCTCTGGTCCGATGCGTCCGTGAACACTTTGCCTAGCGCCTCCTTTTTGACTGCCAGAGCTTCCTCAGCGAACATGCCTTCTCCTGTGTGCTGCCTTGTCCGCTCTGTCAAGTTGGCTTCCTCAAAGTCTTCAACTTCTAGCACACCTTCCCGGCCTGCGGCCTTGTAGATGCCCTTCACGACCTTGCCGCCCCAGGTGATCTCCACTATCTTGTTCTCGTCCAGCGGACCGTCCAACTTCTCGTCCCAGTGGTCCAGCAGGACGAAGTTCCGCTTGGGGCCTTTCATCTTCACCCCGGTCTTCGCCTCCGTGTCCAGGACAGTCTTGGCCCTTTTGAGGGCGGCCACGTCAACCTTCACGAGGCCGGGATTGGCATTGTGCTGCCGAATCCACTCCTGGACCGCCTTGAGAAAGCGGCCGTGGTCCTGCGCGTTCTCCCGCGAGGCCTGCAGCCACTTGTGGTACTCTGCGTAGCTCTTGTGCTTGAAGAGACCGGAAAGTCGAAAAGCACATCCGCCGGGTCCTTCAGCCGGCGGTACTTGGCCCACGGCCTGGCCCCTGCGTACTGGTCCTCCTCTGAGGCAGTCGTCAGCGGCGAGGCGTCTGTGCTCTTTGAGTTGCAAAGGCAGCAGCTGCAGACCTTGGTGAGGCCTAACCGAGCCGGCGGCTGATCAGCCGCGCATCTCCCACCCGGCACGCTGCCGTCACCCGGCACGCTGCCAGCGACACTCCCGGTCTCCGCAATGCTGGCAACGTCGTCTTCCATTACAGCGGGCGCGTCGGCGCGCTCAGGTGCGCCTCTAGGCTGCCTCGGCTTGCGTGGGCCGCGCGCCCGGCGCTTCTTTCCCACGGCCAAGCCCTGCGCCAGCTTGGCAGCCCGGGCCGCGCGCTGTATCTCCTTCATCTCAAGCGCCGCCTGCTGCAGGAACTCCTGAGTCAGCTCCTCGCGGGACACGATTCTGAACGTCCCCAAGTCTGCAGACGCAGGCCCGACGCGCGCTCGGAACAAGCGCCAGTCCGAGGCCTTCTCAGCAAGCTCACGGCAGAGGTCCATGTCCGATCGAGTGACGCAGGAGTGCTGCGCATCTGCGGCCGGTGTTAGCTGCATAGTGTACGGAGCAGCCTCTGCGCCAGGCGGCTCCTTGCTCAGCTGAAGCAGCACCATGTCCCACGGAGCCTTCCTCACGTTGAAGGCCACGACAATCTGCACGCAGTCGCCCCTAGAGGGGGATCGCCACTGAAGCACCAGGGGGGATGCGGACAGGTCTCTTCGAACAGGCTCGTGCACGCGCACAGCTGTCACCAGCGCGCTGTGCAGTGTGTGGAAGGCAGCGCGCTGCTCGGGGCTAAGGTGCGCTTCACACCCGCCCCGCGGGCAAACCGAGAACAGAGTGTCGCTGATTTCCGGGAGATCCTCTGCTGCGTCCACTGGCGCTCGGAAGGCCTGCGCAGTCTTGGAGGGCGCACGGGCGTGGAAACTAAAAGAGCAAAGCCAAAGAGAAGAAAGCGACCGCAGAACATAAGCGACTTCCACTTGCCTCGTCCCATTGGGCTGCGCGTGCCTTGATGGCGGTGCACGGCGCCAGCACTTTCTCCAGGTGGCCACAAGAGATTGGCCACTGGCCGTGAAGCTCCGCCATGCCCCACGGGCCGCCTGTCTCGGACTCCGCGTTGCCCGCTTGCTCCTCCTTCTCCTCCAGCAGCGCCAAGCTCTGGCCGCGTCCCGCGCAAAGTCCTGTCTGCCTGCGACGCCCTGCACAGACCCGGCGTGCTGCCGTCGGAACTCACCCACGAAGACATTGAAGCCGGTTGTGCGCGGAAGCCTTTTCACCCAGGCGGGCCGGGCGTTGTGCTTCGGCCTCACGCGCCGGGGGTGCTGCTCTCGCCACGCATCCGCCGCAGTCCTTGTCCAGTTGGTGACGTGCTTCGCCGCCAGCGCAGACCAGGAGAGCCGATTTTTTGACCAGTGGGAGAAGTGCGCAAACCTTCTCTCGATGAAGGTGGACGTGGGCACCACGCGTTGAAACACCGTCTCCAGAAACACTCGCAAGTCCGGGCGGAGAAGCTCTTCCTGGGACGGGTTCATGCGCCGCAGCTTGAGCGAAAACCCGCTATCCAAACAGCAAGGCGGCGCGGCCAACAGATCCTGTGTCGCGCGCTCCTGCGGGCTCGAGTCCGGCACGGCCAGCGGCCAGACACGCCAGGGGTACTGCTGCCAAGGCAGTATCAACTTCCTGGCGAGCTGTCCGACCATGGCCAGAATCGCTCTGCGGACAATGCGGAGACGCACTTCTGGCCACCCGGCCAGCGGCCCAAACCGCCAAGTCAGCAAGGATAAGCCCTGGTCGGGCGACTCGAGAATGGCGGCAAGTCCTCGCAGCACTCGCTGTGCCGGGCTGCTGTCTGTGCGACAGAAAGCGGCGAGCAGGTGCACTGCTCGGTCACGCTCTTTCTGCGGCCGGTCAGAAAACCAAGTGGCATTCTTGAAGAGCTGCGCGTGCAGCGTCATGGCCCCGCGGGCAAGCTGGCACCAGAGCAGATTGATCCACAAAGTCTGAGGATCGGACAAGAAGTGCGTCGCACGCATGTTCCGCCTTCTCGCAAGCACGCGCCATCTGCGCGCTTCATTCACAGGCACGCCGAGCTTCTCATCTTCGTCGCTGCTGCCGTCTGAAGGCTCGTCCTGAAGCTCGCCAAACTCCTGCTTGAAGGCGTCTACAATGAATCCGCCGTGAAAAAGAGAGAGCAGCGTCACCGCGGCAACTGTGGGGGCGACTTTCGTCCATTTATTCATAGCCGGAAGGGGAAGCGGTTTCAAAATGTGCTCTTCTATGAGCCTCGTCGCCTTTGACACGGCCTGCGGCCTATCCTCGCAGCACCCAGGCCGGCAAACGTGGACGGGGGCTCCTGTCAGGGTGGGCAGCTACGATCTAACACCAGAGACAAAACGCTAAGAACTCAATCGCTTTAGTCACACTGATGACGGAACTGCAGCTTAAGCCCTCTCTAAACCCCCTATAGGCTTTGCCAAAATCAAAAATAGGCAGCTGCGACCAGCCAACGGTGCCCTTCTTTTTGTTCCACGCGCGTACAGGTGACTGCACAGTTGGGCTGTGTGCAGCGAGCCCGCAACACTCGCAAGGACGCACCAGGCTTGCCGACTGACCTGCAGGCCCGGCCAGCGGCCGACTACCAGATATATAAGCAGGACCATTCAACACGCGTAACAATGGGGCCCGCAGCTCAGTGACTCCGGCTTGGAGCCTGTGAAAAAAAGCGCCGAGTGAAGCAGGCCTACCCGTGCTCGTATAGACTGGAAAATGCCATGCCCTGGCCAGCGGCCGGCCGCCGGCAACGCAGCAAACAAAAGCCTCAGAAGCTATCTACAGCGGTTGAGTGAAAGACGTCTCTGACGGCAGCTGCGGACCTGGCCAGCGGCCGAACCTTGCTCACGACTGCCAGCTGCGGCCGCCCCAGTCGCCGCTTTCCCAAGTGCTCCAAGCGCTCGAAGACCAGCTGAGCGAGCTCCGGCTCATCCAGGCGGTGCTGCCGGGGCCTGTGGCGTTTTCAGGCATAAACTTAGCACGCAGCAGCGGCCAAGCAGCTGACTCACGGAATCAACGCTGTGTAGCTACAAGTTGCCTACTTGGGGACAAAAGCACAGAGAAACGACGTTAAATTATGTTGCGTTGTGTCACGGGCAAACGGCAACAAGCAAACTCAAATAGGCTTGGAGTCCTTGATGGTGTTGCCGACCCTGGCCTGTATCGGTGGTCCCCGCTGTCACGCAGCGGCGGCGGGTGAAGCGAGGGGCACTCCCAGTAGCCCTGCAAGTAGCGCGCCAACATCATGTTGCAGCCCAAGGCGATGTCCAGGATGGATCTGCCCTCAGCCGGCATGTCGCGCCAAACATACCTTAAACTATTGCAAAACTACAGACTGCTGCAAGCCAAGCCCGGGCGGCGCCCTAAGCCTTCGCAACTACTAGCTGCGACTTACTGCGCAAGGCAAAGTGTGCGCCGAAAACAAGCGAGAAAGTCAACGGCCGGCGCCACTCAGCCCTGCGCAGTGCTGTTGGCCAGCTGCGTGTGGGCCATCACCGCAGCCCGGCCGCCTAAGTCGTCGATGCGGTACAAGATGCACTTGACCACAGCTATCTTAGCGCGGGAGCATGCCAAGTGCGTAGCCGTTGAGGAAGTGGAGCCCCGCGTGTTGAGCGCGGACAGCGTCATGTTCTGGCAGAGCAGGAACGCCACCCGGCTTTCATCGTGTTGGTCCGCGCCAGGCGGCGGCTGGGGCATGTTCGCAAAAATCATGAGAGGCGTCCAGTGGCCAGGCTGGCGATGGGCATGCGTAGTCATGTTGGCGAGGCCTGGGGCCCGCTCCAAAACACTTTGGATGAGGTCGCAGTCCCAGGATCTGACCACATGGTGGAGGACGTTGAAGCCGGAGTTGTCCAGCAAGCGTCTCCACGTAGTTCGGGCGCAGCTGCTCGAACGCCTGCTTGAACTCCGCCCAGCGGCCCTGCAGCAGCAAGGTGAAAACCTCGCCAGCGGCGGAGTCCTCCTTCTCCTTCGCGTCCTTGTCAGCCAGCACGCCCTCCAGAAGCTGCTTCTGCTGCAGCAGCAGCTCGCTCAGGCGAGCGATCTCCTCCGCGCTGGACCCCTGCATCCCGCTGACATCAGGCCCTTCTCCCACGAGCCAGCCTGCACCGCCGCGTTGTCTGCCTCAGCCTTGTCATCGTCGGCACCCCAGTCAGGCACTTCCGCCTCCCCGTCCTGGCCAGCGGCCGGTTCTTCTGGCTTTGGCTCTGGCTCGACAGCGGAAAAGTGCCTTAGGCAAGCGTCCATGGCCTGCAGATGCCGCACCATCTCGGTGAGTTTGTCCAAGGCAGCGCCCTTGCCGTCGCCGTCCTCCTCCTCTTCGGCCACCTCTTCCATGACAGTGCCAGGGCGCGCCGCCACCGCCTTCGGCTGCGCAGACTCGGCAGGGCCAGCGGCCTTGGCAAGGGCTGGCCCGGCGAGCTCCCCAGGCAAGGCTGCAGGAGAAGGAGCAGCCTTGCCAGCAGCAGTGGCAATCGACTGGGGCGGCACACTTGGGCGGGACTTGGGCGGCGTGACTGGCCGCGCCTTGCTCTGGTCCACAGCCTCGCTCCGCGGCGGCGCAGGCTCCATCTCCACGTCCTCTGCAGGCGTCAGCGCCGATATCTCGCCGCCCACGTGGCCGGCGGCCTCTGACTCAGCAGAAGACATAGTCCAGCTGGCGCCTGTCCCCTGGCAGCTCGTTTGATGGGGCAAAGCCAAAGCCGCTTCAACTCGAAAAAAGGAAGCGGGGAGCGCGAGCAAGCGCAAGAAGCCAACTCAAACAATCGTTGAAGCCAGCTAAGCCGAGCCTTGCGCTGAACAGTCGAAAGCATGACCAATCAGTAATAAGAGAACATATAAGCCGGGAAAGACCAAAGCACCAGCTTGCCAAGGATGTTTGCCCTTTCTTGCATACCTGCCTCCCCTTCGCTCGAAGAAGTGATGCGCCGGTTGCGCTTGCTTGGCTCCTCCTCCGCGTCAGTGACCTTCGCCCAAGAGGAGTCTGTGGCCACCTTCAAGGGAGCGAAAGCCCGGCCCGCGGCCAAAAGTCTAATAGACTAACTGACTACTTGAAGTCTAAAGCGGTTTGTCTTATTAAGCAAAACAGCTCAAACAGAAAGCGGCGCAAAGCCGTGTGAGCTGCCGCCAGGCGGCTGCCTCCTCTTCATGTGTCCTGGGTCGCACCCTGGCCCTGGCCTTCGACCTTGCGGCGAGTTCCTGCGCGACAGCTCTTCAAAGTTGAAAGTCTCAACTTCGAGCGAGCTATACACTCACGCCGCATCAAACTGGCTGTGGCCTAGTTTCGAATATTGCATCAGTGATCATCAATTACACATTGCATGAAGTCGAAACTGAGAACGGTGTTCGGCCCAAGCCCTGTCCGGCAGGCTGCCGCCGCGGTTTATACGACAAGCTGCGTGAACTCCGCCGGAGACAGAAGTGTGTTGAGCCGGAAGACCGACCTCTCCTCCGCGAGCTCCTTGTGCGCGGTCATGAGGTCGTCCGCCTTCCCTAGACACGACAATCACCTGGAAGAAGAACACGAAATGGCAAATCACCTTGGAAAACCCCCTATCACCTTGATCACCCCTATCACCTTGATCACCCCCAGCCCATTTTTAGCTCTCTGAGCGCTGGCTCACCACCCCTTGAATGACATACCGCACGCAAATGCGAGGAAGTGCGCGAGACACAGCCCGGCCAAGGCTAAAATCATATATGTTTCGGCGAAAACGTGCGCACCCGAATAATATTGTGTTTCGACAATATCGTACGCATGAGCCCAAATAATAGGGAAAACATCTTCACAAAAACTGCTGCACAGAAACCGAGGCATAGTTTAGAGAAAAAAATCAAACCCGATATGCATTTGCGATCTTTTTGTTCGCGCGTTCGCAATCAGCCGTCAGCATATGCTCACAATCTATGTAGCGCAGCGCCTCGATCCTGCAGCATGCATATATATATGAGGATATCGAGCTGCTTTGATCATCCGGCGCCTGCATCGATGTGCGAGCTGGCTTCGATGCCGCCTGGCCAATGCAATCGATCGGGGACGGGCGTACACACAAATATTAGAAAATGTATATATATATATGTATAGAACAGCGTGCGACGACCGACGACCGATCGGCTGGGGCCCCGGCGCGTAGCGCCAGTGCAGCACGTACCTGGCACGAGCGAGCGGCATGGTATATATGTATATATATATATGTGCACATGTTAATACTCTATATATATATATATAAAATCGATATTCGAGCGAGACGCAGCGATCGGCGCCTCATCGATCCGCGAGCCGAGCATGTGTCGCAGGTACCTGGCACGATCAGAGCGACTGTCGAATGAATGCACCCGGCCCTGGCCACTCGGGGTGGGCGCGCGCCTGGCCCGGCGCGAGCGAGCGGCGCGACGATCGAGCCGAGGCCCCGGCCCGACACGATATCCAGCATATATACCTGGCGCGAGCGAGCGGCGAACGACGATACGAAAACCATGCTGCAGCCCAGGCCGCGCGTGATCGGCCAGCCAGCCAGCCAGGATCTCGCCTGGCCGGTGCGCAAGAGCGCCGAGCGATCGATCGAAGCATATAGCGCGCCCCGGCCCGCGCGCGGCAGCCGGCGTGGCGCGATGCAGGGCGCCATCCCGACACCTGCAGCGAGGCATGCGACTCATGCAGCTTAAGCTGATGTGTGCCAGCAAGCAATATTGCCCGAGAGCCTTGCCGGCACGTGGCTATATACACGCCTGAGGCAGTTAACGCTGGATCCACACTCGGGCATGTGAGGGCCGGCCTCTTAGCTCACGCATGCAACAAGGCCCGCGATCGGGGACCTGCAGCCAGGCCATATAATTGAGTAACGTTAGGCAGGTGTGAGCGCGGCCGGCCTATGAGTTAAGGCTGTCGCCGCGCGCGAAACATCGCCCGCAGTCCGATCAGGTATCGGCTGAGGATCGATCGAGGCGCGGTGCGGCGATGCACCTTGCGGGCGCGCAGCATCAGGGACTTGACCCAGTCTTCGTCCATCCAAGTGGCGTGGACTACCGGGTTTTTTGCGGTGACCCGGAGCTCATCAATGACATGCGTCAGCACATGAAACTTTGGCCGAATATTCCACAGCTTAAAGCTGCACCAATTACTGTAGGCCTGATGGAGCAGGAGGTGCTGCTGCTGCCAGAGGCTGCCAATCTGAACAGCCTGTTCCACCTCCGACTGGGTGAGCCACACACCGCGGCTGCGGCACTCATGTAAGTGCGCCACGAAGTTGTCGGCCGCCCAGAGCACGATCTTGATCCGGTCATCACACTGCACACCTGGAAGGCCCACATAGTGGACCAAGAACTGCAAGAAGACAGTCAGGTGCCAAGCTTTGCCTGTGAAGTGCACGTACTTGCCAGTGTGCAGGCACAGTCTTTGGACAGTGAGTTTCCACCTGCGTGGGAGAGGCCGGCCTGACACGTTGCGCGCGTGCTGCTGGACCAAGCGGGTGGCCTCCGCGAGGCGCTCTTTTGCCTATGCTGGCCGCAATATATAGAATGGACGCACATTTATCGGACGCAATGGATCGAGGGCAAACCAAAAAACACGCATGTCTGCAACGATTGCGGCCAAAGCGCGTTGTTGCCTGCAAACTGGCCAGTCCGCAAAAGGACGACAAACGCCGATGAGGCGATGTCCCTGCCAACCCCCAGATGGAAAGCGTGGAGAAGATCCACACTCAGCCATCTTGCATCAACTCCGCGAAGGTGACAAATCTCAGGCTGCACGCTCCATGGAAGTAGGACTGGCGCCGCCGCAGCTCTCCACGCAGCACCTGCAGAGACATCGGTGTAGGGGCAGTCCAGGGACTTGGAAGCAAAGCAGCCTGGCCTGAAGCAGATGCGATTGGTGCCTGGGTGGCGCTCCAAATTCGCGCACTGCGCCATGAATTTCCAGTCGCCTTTGATGGTCACGACCTGAGCGCACTGCCAGCGGTTCAGCGAGCGAACTACTATCTTCAGCAAGGCCTGCAGCGTCATATTGATTCCGCTGGTGTTGACGTAGTACCTCGTCGCTGGCATGAGCGCGATGACAAAGCGGCTTAAGGCCTGATCAGTGTAGAAAGGGCTGCACTCGCACGTCCAGCTTATAGCCATGTAGCTGTCCTGCTCGTAGAACTGGCCTTCGTCGCCGTACAACTGGATGCCGAGCGCGTCCTCCAAGGTGCAGCAGGGGCGTGGAATTCCGCAGCGCTCCTGTGCCCGCCAGTACTGCTCGTCTGTGCGGCCAAAGAGGTCGCGGTGGCCAGCTTCAACGATCGCTTCAGCCTCGTGAC